TACCAGTGATGAACGAACTTATGTAATCAACTTTGTGATTGTAAGAAGTGCCACTGATGAACGAACTTATGCAAGTGACTTTGTGATTGTAAGCAGTGCCATTGATGAATGAACTCATGCAAGTGACTTTGTGATTATAAGCAGTACCATTGATGAACTATCTTCTGCAAGTGACTTTGTGATTGTAAATAGTACCAGTGATGAACTAACCTCTGCAAGTAACTTTGTGATTGTAAGCAGTGTCTTTGATGGACGAACTTATGCAGGTGACTTTGTGACTGTAAGCAGCGCCAGTTATGAACGAACTTATGCAAGTGACTTTGTGATTGTAAACAGTGTCAGTGATGAAGAATCTTCTGCAAGTAACGTTGTAATTATAAGGAGTACCATTGATGAACCATCTTCTGCAAGTGACTTTGTGATTGTAAATAGTACCAGTGATGAACGAACGTATGCAAGCAACTTTGTGATTGTAAGAAGTGCCATTGATGAACGAACTTATGCAAGTGACTTTGTGATTGTAAGCAGTGCCATTGATGAATGAACTTATGCAAGTTATTTTTTAAATTTTAAACAGTGTCAGTTATGAGTGAACTTATTCAAGTGACTTAATTTAAACTTGTTATATTGTCCAGAAAAGTGAGGTTATATAGCACATATATATAAGACTTGTTATCTGTTACTTACCATAAACTACTTACAAAGGAACAGCTCATAATAAAGAAACGTCAGCCTTTAATAATCTATTTGTTATACATTATTATAAAACTGTATATTTTGATGTATAATATTCAGGATTGCTTATGATGAATCCCTAATAAAGATACCAAGATTACTATTTATGTATTAACGTCGATAGATGTCAGACATGCATTAATTACAATGATTAACATTTTAAGTTTTAGATGAATTTAATAATCGTGCAGATACAACTTAATTATGAAGAAAGGTTTGTTATGTTACTTGTAGTTTTGTTTAACTATGATAGAAGATCCACTGTGGCCTATCCTGTATTGGAACTTATAATCGTGTTTAACTTTGATACGTGTTCAAATTATTAACCATTCATACATTTTTAGTCAAATTGTCCAAAAATCGTTTTAGTTTAATCCATTCTTTATTTGGAAGGCCTAAGAAACTTTTCAGTTTACTGAATTGTTATTAAGGATTTGGTGAAGTTTCCTGCAATTTGTTTGGCGTTATTTTATTCCAGTTTGATGAGAACTTTTCAAGAATCACTTATTTTACTTTATCCTAATGGTTCGGGTTTTCCCGGTTTTGTTGATATAGATTTTTAAACAAATAACTAAAAACCTTTTTATTCTTAGATTCGTGATTAGTACTCTAAGTAATGTGAACAAAGGGCTAAAGCACAGATTTTGATGCTTACATTTCGCTACGGTAATTTAAAAAAAAACACACCAGATTTTGTCATAAAATACAAGTAGTTTAAAATGTTTGAAGTACGAGAAAATGTAAAAGAAAGTTAAAATGTTTTATTGTAAGCAAAAATCAAATCGATCATATAACAAAACGAAACGACGTAAAACAAGCCACACTTTGAGTTAACTTCTCAATCCTGGCTCAGGTTTACTTTTTCAAGGCTTACCCATAGAGAAAATATTATATTGGAACCAATTTTTGCGAAATGTTAAGCAATTATGTTACAGGAAAAAATATATTAGAAATCTTGTGTTTCGCTTTACAGGTGTTTTTATTGTTAAGCTACCCATATTTATTAGAGAGTTATAACTAGCATTTATTTTTGAAAGAAGTTTATAATAATGTGACACTGAAGGTGAAAAACAACGTATTAGTATTGGTTTCAAAGAATAATTTTAGGGAAGATGGTCTAAACAACAGCTTGCAATATTGTTAAGAAAATATTTTCAAAATTTGTGTGAAATTTAATTTTACCACCTAACTAGGTTATTTCAACACAATCCTTTAGCTTTATCATTAGGCACAAATTTTTTTCAAGGAAAACAGAACGCTTACTAATATACATAGATATTTTGATTTATCTTTTGCTAAAAAAAAACAGAGGAAAGGAAAATATATAATTCTGCTGAAATTCGAAAGATAGAAATTAATACAACCTGTTTAGGGTTACAGTTGAGCCTAAAGGAATAATGATGTAGTTTCTTATTACAAACACTTGTTCCTTGCAAAACCAAAAGCAGCTCATACAATATGAACCCCCTGTTGTCAATATATATAATTTCCGTTAAACTTCTGATACCTAGTATAAAACAATTGTTTATAACACAAGCAATATATGTGTGCAAGTTTGAAAAAAATACTTATATTTTTATGAGGCACTGAATGTATTATGTGTCGAGATATTCAAATGATGCTATTGAAGGTTTACAAATATGAGGCCCCCTGTGGCACAGCGGTATGTCTGCGGACTTACAACGCTAGAATCCGGGTTTCGATACCCGTGGTGGGCAGAGCACGGATCGCCCATTGTGTAGTTTTGTGCTTAACTTCAAAAACAAACAAACATGCAAGTATGAGTTAATATTACTATGAAATTAATAGATTTCAGAACAAAGTATGTAATTTAATATTATCATCCCACTAATTCAACACGTGAAGGTTTTTATTACTAAAATACATTTAGGTTTTTTCCTTATATACGATTAAAGTTCGCAATATAGCCCAAGACTGGCAAATATATTTCTAATATTTAGGTTTTAAGAATTAACCTAGGTTAAAGAATCTAAAATCGTTCTAAAATGTAAATAAAAGTTGAGTTAGCCAGCTGTTATACTTGTTTTAGACGATAAATCATAGCATTCCCACCTAAAGACAGGACTTTCGAATTAATTCACGTTTTTTAAACCGTATTACATCAATGGTAGATGATTTTTTTCCAGATACGAAAAATATTTTGATGTAGATCATAAGCAAGGGTATACGTAACATTTCCCAAATACCTTAGTTGTGAATAATCCTATTTCCAAAGCTTTCTTCAATGTCCTTCTTTTACTACAGAAACAACACTTTTACTTCTTTGTGTTACTAATGTATAGTGAATAAGATAAGGTAAAATACAGACCGTTATGTAACAGAAACTCATAATGAAACATAATTCAAATTCATCTAGTTACCATATATAATCCTATTTGAATATTAAGCTTCAAGGTGCAGCCTCTGAGATGTTTAACTTTGTAAGTGGGAATATAGAGAAGTTTACCTATAAAAATTTCACAAATATTAAGCAAAATTATACAAGTATTATGACTGATACGGACGCAATTATGAAATAAGGTACTTCTTACTTTGTTTCCTAGGTACTTCAATTTAGCTCTCAAGTATTCTTGGTATAAGAACATTATTCTCATCTACTTTTGCAATGATACTAAATTTTCAAAGCCTATTGGTACGAACAAAAATGGTCTTTACACCAGTGACGTGCACCTGATTTTACAACTTGCTTGTTGCGAATTATTTGGAAAGAAAAAAATATTTTAACTCTAAAATAAATGGAACACAGGGTCCTTTAGGACTTTACAGTAAACAAATGGTAATATACTGTTAAGTGGTAATACGCAAAAATTCAATGTTTAGTTTTAGATTGTCAAATTTTTATAAGACCCATTGCAGAGGAATAAAAGAGGATCTGTTTGCTTCTTATCAATGTTTACCCTATGTGTACCAGAAGCAACCCACAGTCTCCTCTATCATCCCTCCCCCAAAATACTCGCTTTATGATGCTTGAAAAGTACCCTACTAACGCCCTTTGCACATTACTGCTTTACACGCTGTTCGCCATTATATAGAAATCTATAACTACTAATAAAATAGGATAATCACTGATAATTCAAAGCTTAACTATTAGGCCTATCTTCTTTATATAGAAATCTATAGCTACTGATAAAATAGGATAATCACTGATAATTTAAAGCTTAACTATTAGGCCTATCTTCTTTATATAGAAATCTATAGCTACTGATAAAATAGGATAATCACTGATAATTTAA